CACAACACTTATTTCCATTATATTCTTTCATTTCTCAGTATTTGAGAATCCAGAAACACAATGCTTGATGTGTTTCTCACAGGAAATAAATTAATTTATTTTTTTTTATTCTAACTCAGAATGTTTAATTGCTAAGGAAAGAGGAATCCAAGGAGGGTTACAGCATTCCATCGTTGGTATTTCAGCAGGTTATTCGGGCACTAATCCAGTTATCAGTGACATTGTCCATTATGTGACTATATTAATTTGGAGAAATCGCTCTGCTTATGAACACCCGCCTCGTGGGGAAGTAAACTTCCAGATCCTGCATTATGAGCCCAGTTTGCTTCTGCGTTTTTCAGGTTTCACTTGCCCTTATTAAAACTCTTAGTCAAGATTTCACTGTTAAAATAGCAAAAGAGAGAATGGATTGAAAGGGAAGCAAACCTATTTTCTTGCATTGAGAGCAGCTGAACGTAAGGATATTTTCCCTCATTTTTCTCTATGGAGTCCATTTAAGAGATGTCACAAATGCAAAAAGAAGTGCATTCAGGGGCTAAGGGTCAGTGAGCAGTGCCCATGGCAACTAAGAAACTATTCTGCAGAAAAAATGCAGTAAAGAGCAAGTGTTTTAATCCCCAGCTTTAATCCCTTTACTTCCTGTTTTCAAAATGAAATATAAATCAGGCACCATGGTGTGCAGCAATTTTTCCTGAAAGGGATGTTGGCAAAAAGGGATTAGGAATGGCAGCAGTGTTTAAGGAATTTAATCATACAATTTGTTGGAAAACTTTTGAGACTACAAATGACCAGTTCTTTTGAGTGTGGTCAGTGAGAAACAAGAAAACATACCCTGAAAGCGATGGAGGACTGACTGTTGCTGAATCCCACCCCTCATCCAGCTGCTGCATGAGGCGTTTCTTAAAAAAACGCTACATCATCAGGGATATGCTTTGCCAGGGGTGAATGTAGAGGAGGAAACAACAAAACCCTCCCAATGTTTTTCAGGATGCTATTGTGGTTGTTGTAATCAGGAGATTGTTGGTACAGTCTGATACCAGCATTTGCTATTTCACATCATGACTCCTCCCTGAACTTGGTTTCTGCCCTGAGTTTGTACTCCTGTGAGCTTTGGCAGTGTTATGTGTTGAAAAGTGTACCAGAAGGAATAAGTCACCCTCATTATATTTACACATTTAAAAAAAAATAAAACATAAAAAATAAAAAATCCGTATTGTCTCAAAACTCTGCAAACAGCTGTCAGTGTGTGCCCAAAGTGTTTTACATTCTTCAGGTTCATTTTTGGTAGCAAACACTATTATTTTCTCCAATTGTGTGTCTTCACTTGCCTGCCACAGCATATGCATGGGAGTGGGCTTAAGCAATCAGGAACCCTTCTTTCTTTAGCGGCCTGATTGACATTGGGAGGCAACTCTGAAGGGCAAAGGAGTCCAGGAAGGCTGGACATTCTTCAAGCAGGAAACCTTAAAGGTTCAGGAGGAGGCCACCCCCATGTGCCAAAAGATGAGCTGGTGGCTAAGAAGACTGGCCTGGCTGAACAGAGAGCTTTGACTGGAACTTAGGGAAAAAAAAAGAGTTTATTACTCTTTTTTTACTTTGGAAGAAGGGGCAGCCAACTCAAGAGGCCTACAAGAATATTGTAAGGTTAGGCAGGGAGAAAATGAGAAGGGCCAAAGTCCAGTTAAATTTAATTTGGCTACTGCAGTAAAAAACAATAAACATGTTTCTATAAGTATGTTAGCAACAAAAGAAGGGCTAGTGAGAATCTCCATCCTCTACTGGATGTGAGGTGAAACACAGGGACAAAGGATGAGGAAAAGGCTGAGATACTTAATGCCTTTGCCTCAGTCTTTAACAGTAAGACCAGTTGTTCTATCCAGGTACCCAGCCCCCTGAGCTGGAAGGCAGGGAGCAAAACAAAGACCCCATAATCCAAGGGGAAATGGACAGCGACCTGCTACACCATTTGAACGCATACAAGTCTATGAGGCTGGATTGAATCCACCCAAGGGTACTGAGGGAGGTGGCAGAATGCTCACTAAGCCACTTTCCGTCATTTATCAGCAGTCCTTGGAAGTCCCAGCTGAGTGGAGGTTAGCAGATATCATGCCCATTTATAAGAAGGGCTGGAAAGAGGATATGGGAAACTACAGGCCTGTCAGTCTGACCTTGGTGCTGGGGAAGGTAATAGAGGAGATCATCTTGAGTGCCATCATGTGGCACATACAGGACAACCAGGTGATCAGGCTCAGTCAGAAGGGGTTTATGAAAGGCAGGTCCTGCTTGACTAACCTGATCGTCTTCTATGACAAGGTGACATGCTAAGTGCATGAGGGAAAGGCTGTGGATGTTGTCTATCTAGACTTTAAAAAAGCCTTTGACATTTCCCACAGTTTTCTCCTGGAGAAACTGGCTGCTCATGTCTTGGATGGGTGTACTCTTCATTGGGTATACAACTGGCTGGATGGTGGGGCCCAAAGAGTGGAGTACATCCAGTTGGCAGGTGGTCGCTAGTGGTGTGCCCCAGGGCTCAGTATTGCAGAGAGTTCTGTTTAATACCTTTATCAGTGATAGGGACAAGGGGATTGAGTGAACCCTCGGTAAATCTGCGGACGAATCAAGTCGGGCATGAGAGTTGACCTGCTGGAGGATAGGAAGTCTCTGCAGAGGGATCTGGACAGGCTGGATCGATGGGCTATGGCCAGCAGTGTGAGGTTCAACAAGGCAAAGGGCCACATCCTGCATTTGGGCCACACCACCCCAAGTGCTGAGTCTTGTACTTGGGCCACAACAACCCCAGGCAACACTCCAGGCTTGGGGAAGAGTGGCTGGAAAGCTGCTTATGGAAAAGGAGCTGGGGGTGCTGATTGACAGAGCTGAACATGAGCCAGCTTGTGCCCAGGCAGCCAGGAAGGGCAACAGCATCCTGGCCTTTATCAGCAATAGTGTGGCCAGCAGGGCCAGGGCAGTGATCATCCCCCTGCACTGGGCACTGGTGAGGCTGCACCTCGAATCCTGTGTTCAGTTCTGGGCCCCTTTCTATGGAAGAGATACTGGGTTGCTCGAGAAGGTTCAGAGAAGGGCAACAAAGCTGGTGAAGTGTCTAGAATGCATAGCACTCATTATTCTGCTAATTACCTACCACAACTTTATTTGTTATATAGAACAAATATTTCATACAGGGAAGTTATAAGTGAGCTGAGCAACTGATTTTTAACATTCACCTTGGTCAGCCATAAATGCAAGCTGCATTACAGCACACAGAAAATGTCTGTGATCAGCATGGCAAAACCGTGATTTCATCATTCAGCAGTATAACTTTCTAACCTTACAGTTCTCGAAAATAGACTGCCAAGTTTTCAGTCTTAGTGTGATTGTACTGGTGCTTAGCTGAGTGATCATGAAGGAAGCAAGGTGATCATGGGGGAATCAAGATATTGCGCAAGGATGCTCGGAGGTTTGTGCTGGGCTATGATTTATACAAAAGTCAGAGGATATCATGTATCTTTTACAGGTGGTGGATAAGTCTAGGCTGGAAAAGAAATGAATTGCCTTTAGAGCAAAGCAAGAAACAGACTGAAGCAGTTAGATCTGTTCAATTGTTATTTCTCCCGTATAGCATTTTTAACTGAAGATAAAATTTTATGGATGCAGTGAATGGTTGGTTTACATCTGTCTGTTCATCGTCTGTTTCGTGTTTCTTCACATACTAAAAAAAAATAATAACTCAGATTTCTCTGCTCTCTGCTTTTGACTGGAGAATAAGCGTTACACAGAACAACTGAGGGAACTCGGGTTGTTTAGTCTGGAGAAGAGAAGGCTCAGGGGGGACCTTAGCATTCTCTACAACTACCTGAAAGGAGGTTGTAGTGAGGTGAGTTTGGTCTCTTCTCCCAGGTAACAAGTGATAGGACAAGAGGAAAAAGCCCCAAGCTGTGCCACGGGAGGTTTACATTGGATATTAGGAAAAATTTCTTCACTGAGAGAGTTATCAGGCATTGGAACAGGCTGCCCAGGGAAGTGTTTAGAAAATTTGTTAATGAGTTCCTCAGGGATATGGTTTAGTGATGGTCTTTGCAGGCCTGGGGTACTGGTTGGACTTGATGATCTTAAAGGTCTTTTTCCACCTAGTTCATTCTGTGATTCTGTGAATCAAAAATGAGATCACAGCTGTCTCCCAGTATTTGTTTCACTGGTTTTGGTTTTCTGTAGTTGATCCTGGGTTTTGTTTGTTTTTATAAACATTAACTATTGGACAAGCCAGAAAATTTATATCAGCACAGGTTGTCATGATAGATCTGTTTTCAGTACCAAAGGATTTGCAGATGCAAACCAAACCTGAATGATGCAAAATAGAAAAATGTGTAAAATAGATGGTTGCTGTTAATACTTGTAACTAATACTTAGCTCTCATTTTCTTTTTCTGCTCACTCTTCATCCATATTAGTGCTATCTGATCATAGAAAATTTATCAGTTTCCTACTCCCAAAAGAAAAGAGCGCAAGCAGTGTCACACAGGCAACCTCTGTAAATTTGTATTCTGTGTGACAGAATCCTGATTTTTTTATAGGTCAGAATTTTTTTCTTATTAGACTCCATAGAAATTTAAAGTCACATAATGCTCATTAATAGTGTAGCTGATAAGAATTTGAATCTGTATATATCTGGCATTTAGTTTCACATGCACTTAATGTCATGAAAAAGCCATGTTACTAGTGATAGCAATAAAACCAGAATAAGGTCTTATCTGTACAACTAGCCGTTGTTCTGAGTACAGTATTGTTAAGTATTTGAAAGACTTTCCTTATTCAGATTCAAAAAAATGCCTGATGTAATGGAAAGTTATTAACCAGGATTTAAAAGAGAAAAATTTTGCCTGTGCTCCATTTCTTTCTTCAACCCCTCACCATTTCTTCATTATAATTTTTCAGTGTCTTAAGGATCTGTGTGATTGATTTATTTTTTTTTTTTTGTCTCCTTTTTTATCTCCTGTGTTTCAGTTGCGATCAAATGCAGAAGCTGGCCTGGACATCCTGAACAACTGCCTTGCAGTCCAGCCCCTCCAGCCAGCACCATCGCCGCATGATGCTGCAGATAATACTATGGGACACTCCCCACGGCTTGCTCACAATATTTACCCAGGTATAGAAAAAGACAAATAAACAGCCTGCTGTATTATTGCTCATTGAAGATTAGGGATGGCTTTGCAGAGTAGGATGTACTCTAAAATCCATATCTATCTCATTAGAAGGATAGAATCTGCAATATAATATGAAAAGATAGCTTTTGAACAGATTTTTAACTGGGTTTTTTTTCGAGGGAGGCAGGACGAATCATATTTTATCCATTAAAAGACCTGCTGGAATGAAAAGCAGTATTTTTGATCTGTAGGCATTTGCCTTGTGCTAGCAGTTCACTTCTACCATTCCTTGTAGACATCTTGAATTCATTAAGCCTAATTGAGAAATCAAACAAGTATTTTTTCTTTTCCTTATTCAGGTATCACATACCAGTTTTCCAATAGATCTACATTAATGAACTTAAACGTTGCATTGTGAGCTCTCATATTATAGCTATAACTATACCAATAAACACATTTGTGCTATAAAGGTGATAATCCTATTTTATTGTTTCAGTTAAGCATCTGAGATTTTCATATTAAAATACTTAACACTGTCATACCTAGCAAAATGTACAGTTGTTTACATCTCAGCTAAATCTGAAACATTTGATAAGTTATGAGTGATAATATGTCAGAGCTGAAGACAGTGATGGTCAGGATTTTGCCATTTTTAATGCAGTATTTTAGTAGTTGTAAAAGCATCAGTTTTTAATTTTCAGGCAGAATGCATCTTCTGGTAGTTCAACTTTCAATTGAGAAACAGATGTAGGAAGAGAAAGAATTATCTGAATGTTATGTGAAGTGCTAAAAATGACATTATATGAAGTGGTCACATCAATAAGTGGCTTTATTTTACTGAGTGGCTTGTAAAACTACCAGTTCTATGATGCGTTTTCACAAGGCTGTTGAGAGCTACACACTAGTTGGTGATGATCATACAATCATAGAATAGTTTGGGTTGGAAAGAACCTTAAGATCATCTAGTTCCAACCCCCCTGCCATGGGCGGGGACGCCTCGCACTAAACCATGTCACCAAAGACTCCGTCCAACGTGGCCTTGAACACTGCCAGGGATGGAGCATTCACAACTTCCTTAGGCAACCCATTCCAGTGCCTCACCACCCTCTCAGTAAAGAACTTCTTCCTTATATCCAACCTGAACTGCCCTTGTTTAAGTTTAAACCCATTACCCCTTGTCCTATAGCTAAGATCCCCTAATGAAGAGTACCTTTCCAGCATCCGTGTGGGCTCCCTTCAGATACTGGAAGGCTGCTGTGAGGTCTCCATGCAGCTTCTCTTGTCCAGGCTGAACAGCTGCAACCTTCTCAGCCTGTTGTCATATAGGGGATGCTCTAGCTTCCTTATCATCCTCGTGGCCCTCCTCTGGACTTGCTCCAACAGCTCCATGTCCTTCTTATGTTGAGGACACCAGAACTGCACACAGTACTCCAAATGAGGTCTCACAAGAGCAGCATAGAGGGGCAAGATCACCTTCAACCTGCTGGTCACGCTTCTTTTGATGCAGCCCGGGATACGATTGGCCTTCTGGGCTGTGAATGCACACTGCTGGGTCATGTTCAGTTTCTCATCTACCAACACCCGCAAGTCCTTCTTCACTCGGCTGCTCTAAATCACTTCTCTGCCCAACAGGATTGGTGGAGATGAGCTAAGACCAGATTTTCAGAAGTTGAGGACATTCGCAGAGATTTCTACTGGAATCTGTTGAGCACTCAGCTCTTTTACCAGTGTAGTTTTCAGACTACAATTAAGTGTCAAACTCCAGATGCTTAGTCAGTCCAAACCAGTCCAGACAGCTCAAACAAACTGCTACTCCATGAATTGTCAGGATCCTAGGCCAAGTAAAACTATTGCCTCCAGCCAGCCCTTAGCTGGCAAGTGCCTGCAGTCATGATGTCCCATAGACAGCTTCTGAGACTGTGGTATTATTTTTTGTCGTTCATCAAAGCATCATACTTCATCTTTCAATCACAGCACTACTAACTATGGACATTCTTTGATATAATAATTTATATTGGCTTATTTTTTTTCTTACTTGGCACTGCCTCTTATAGTTCAGCAATTTTTGTAATATTAATCAACATACTTTTATCAGCATTAATTTCTTGGTAATTAATAAACTTCTTTCCCTTACATGTGTTCACAGTTATCTGTAACCTGGCAAATTTCTTGTAGTTTTATTCATTTGTGTGGGTTCACTTCAGTTACTGTGGGTATTATGTCAGGTATAGACGAATTCATGTCATTTCATTTTGACAACCACCCAATACAGTTGAAATGATTTGTTTCATTAACTACTCATCAGGGCTGCTACATAATAATGTATTATGTGAGTAAGTGAGATAACTCCAACAGGGAAGGAATTATTTTATTTAAACGGCAACATGAGAATTGTTCATGCCCCAAAGAAGACAAAAGCAAAATATATGAAAGCTTGTGTGTCCTGCCTTAGAGAAGCTACCCTTCAAAATTCTCTGAAAACAGCATTTTTCCTAAATGTAAAGAAAAACTTTGAGGCTATTCTGAAAATAAAATTTGTAACTTTTGCTGGGGACTGTTAGAAACAACATATTAGCTGAAATGTGTCTGTGGTACTTTTCAAGTACAAACAGGAACAGATTTCCATTCTTCTAATGCCATTAATCAAACTTTTCTCACTTGAAGGTTACTTTTCTTATCATTTGCTCACATTTAAAGCAAAGGTATGTTTTCTGCTTTCCTGAGAGATCTACGGAATAAATGTTTGAAAGCAAACTATTAGAAAAATGTATGACAAAAGCAGATACTTAGATGCTAGTTCATTTCCACTTAATGAAGTACAATGGCTGCAATGATCAGCATTTCTCTGTACCATAAAAGTACAGACTCTGCAAACAGATATATTTAAATTAAGTACAATAATTAGTTTTGATTACATATCTATTACTTAAAGTTAAGACTGCATAGGTTTTTTTCATACCTTTTAGTCTTTGTGACCTTATAAAAGAAATCTGAACTGAGTATAATCTTATTAATACAGTAAGGTAACATGACAGATTCTTTATTTAAAACCAACACAAAACTACATTTACATTTTAGGTCTAAAATTTAGCAAACATGCATACCCTTCTAGGTCTGTGCATAATGATATTTCGTAAAATAGAAATTCAAAACCTGTTTCTACAGAAATGTAAAATTTCTGGTAGCATTTAGGTTTTAATTTTTAAACATACATGGACTTTGGGGTTTATTTAGTTCATAGAATGAAGATGAGAGCAATTAATTCATAATAAGAACATATGAATGATGTTTTTTCTTCTGTGAAATTATATCAACTTACTTTGTAAAGTGCAGTCTAGAATCCCTAAGGCTGAAAGAATCATAAATACTGCAGTATAAAAGAAATTTATTTTTACTGTGCTGTTTGGTTAAAACATGAACATTTCATATTCAAGAACAAACCAGAATGTGTCATTCATTTATAAATAGCTACTGTATGTCACACTCTGCTCTGCTTCAGAGCAAACAAATGATATTACTAAGGCTTGTCAAGTGCATCATTTTCTTTGCAGGCTGGAAATTAAAAATTCCATTAAGGAAGTTTGAGAAGGTTTTGCAATTCTAAGTGTTATTTAAATAACGTCTTATGCTCCTGTACTATGAACTTTGACCTAACTAGTACATAATGCCTATGACTTAAGATGTGCTTTACTTAAGTAACACTTTTCCTTGTGTATGTTTTTTTGTTCCAATGAAACAGTACTGAGCTAGGTGCTCTACACACATAATAAGAAAAAATTGATTTCCAAATGCGGTTATATCTAAGATAATGTTAGGGCAGTAGGTAGGTACAACAGTCAGGTAGAGAATAGATGACTCATACAGGAAAAATGAAAGAATTGCTTTATTGAAGCAATTGTCCTAGTGGGTGAGCTCCCTAACTGTTAGGCACCATGGGCAGTGTGGGAGATGTCTGAGGAAAAAGTAGTCTGTTTGTTAAAGCTGACAGCCTTGGGAAGTAGTTATCACTCATTACTGAAAGAAAAAAAGAATGAGGAGGAAGAACTGAGATATTTATGGCCGTTGCAGTGAAAAAGGGAGTTGTATTTGATACATAGGGAATGAAGGCAAAAGAGGAGGTTATCTATGGTAACCAACAATTAAGAAGATCTCTGTCGTCACCTTTCTGGCTGAATTTCAGAATGACATACATATCTAGAACTCACACTAAATATGATGTATTACCAGGTAGGACCATACATACATTACAGGGGGCTGAAAAGTGTTAATATTATTATCTTACCTGTTTTAAGGAGGTTAGTTTATTTCCCTTCTGAGTTGTCCTTCTATGTACTAGTTTTACTTCTGAGTATATAATTTCCATTTTGAGACATCTTAATGCTTCTCCAAATATTGGTGTAATGGTTGGGCTCACATTGTGAAGAAGAGATCATTTACTAATGAATTGGTACAAACATTGTAAGCAACAAGGCAACGGCACCATTTAGTTCCTTGCTTCATAATGACACAGAACTTCAGAAACTGCAGTCCACTGAAAGAGAAGAATGTCTTGAAAGGCAGAGATGTGATGTGAAGATGCCATGTCAGGAACAACTTTGGAGACAGGCTTACTAAATACATAATGTAATTTTGACTTCTGCTCTGCTTCTTAATGCATGATGGCTTCTTAAGTTCCATGCACACTGGAGTCTTAGAGAAAAGCTGAGTAGGATCAGGGCAACACAGATAGCATGTTTTACATTTTCTGAGTTTACCACTTATGGCTTAAAACAGCACATGCCTACATATTACTGGTGACAAAATCCTGTAAGGAAGTATGGGCTCCCTAGGGGAGGTGAGAGGAAAGAATATATGGAGGTGATGGTCTCAAAAGCAAAAATCATTTCAGTTTTTCCTTCTGTGTGCTAGTAAAACTTGCTCACAAGGACTACATAAATATTCCTTATGGAAACAGAAGGTTAAGTATAGTAACTAAAAAAACCCCCAAAAAAGAAAAAAACCCCCTCCAGTACCAAAATTACCCAACCCAGCAAAACAAAACAAAACAAAAAAACACCAAAAAATGCCCAAACCAAAACCAAAGCCCACCACTCTTGCAAATGTATATAATTTATGTCATTTTAACTGACTGAGCTGCAAAATGAAACCTTCACACTGTCTTGCTCTATGAAAATGACAATGGAAAGAATTGTCAGCCTTGCTCCAAATTCATGCTGGCAATGGTAAGAGGGGAAGTATTTTGGGGGGCAGAAATAGGTTGACAGTGTGCTGATTTGACAGTAATAAATCCTAGATAGTAAATTATACCTTATTGGTAATTTGCAAAGGGGAGGGTGATTCTTTGGCTTTAAAAATCATTCTGTGAAATTACAGGTCTGGCTCCATTAAAAAAAAAAATAAGTAAATCTTTCAGGCTTCAGATTCTGTAACATTAAAAATGCTACTTTTCTGTCTTCTTTTTTAAAAGGAACCTTATTCATAGAATCAGCTTTTTCTCTTCCAACCACCTAATTTTTTCCTATGCATTATGAAAATGCATGTAAATTTAGCTTCTCCTAGAGAAGCCTTTGCATAGATATTCCTATGGAAAATTCTGTGTGTTGATAAACTGATTTGTGATAAGATTCCAGAAATGAAAACATGGTTTTTCTGTCTCTCTGGCTGAAACTTTGTGGGTGTAACTGAATCCAAGGTCCACATTCAGGCCTAACAGGTTATAGCCATCTTGCAAATCATGGTATAGCTAGGGCTTTTTAAGGGACACAGAGGAACAGCATCAACAATTGTTTGTTTTGTTTTGTTTTTGCTTGTTGGTTTGTGTTTTTTTTTCCAAAATATCTGAATCTTTTTAAAAATTACTTTGAGTGTATTAGTTTATCTTATATTTGTAGAGAGAAGAGCCTTGTTGTAGAAAGCCTTTCTGTTAAGTAAAACTTATACTCAATTCTGCATCTTTCTCTGTGGACCCACCTGGGTTTTGCTCAGTTTTATACCATTCAAATCAGGTGTTTAATGGCATGAGGCACTGAAAAGACATTCCTTTGTGTAGATATTTCCTGCCAGCACTTCGAGCAAGCAACTCACATGTAACAGTTAAACCACTAGAAAAGCTTGCCATACACACAGCTCCCATGAAAAAGTGGTCAAGTTATTTAGCAGTTTCTTAAAATAGTGTTTGAAATTTTCTGTCAGTCTCTTAAGGTTAGCTCTATTGGGGAAATGACCTATCAATGACAGTATTTTTGACTGCCATTAGTCTGAAGACTTCCAATTGCTGACAATGTTTCTCTTCAACTAATATTTGCAAGATCCAGCAGTAGCTTGGACCAATGCATGTCTACACGAAAGGTTTTAATAGTGGCATTGCCACTGGGAAGCAGCTGCCAGTGTTGTGATTTCATTTTGTTGGGTGCCCACGGAGATGCGTTTGTCAGCACAGTACCTCTATGCAGCAAGAAGCTGCTCTGACAAAAGATTTGTTGCATTGCCCGCAGGTGTTATATGGTCTCCGACAACATCATTGATGGTGCTGCTTTTGGAGGTTTCATTACAAGGCACCATGGGAGCCCACATACATTCTTTTGTCATGCTGTGATCGTTTTAAAGTACGCTATGTACAAGAACATATTTTTGCAGCTAATACGTACGTTTTTTCTTCCTTAAATATCCTATCTGCCAAAGTTAGCTCTTACTTTAAACTGTGTACTCTTTCTTATCAGAAAAAGAAGAGAAATTACTGGGAAACCTAGCTAAAGGTACTGCAGTAGCAGGAAGTGCTATGGTGGTGAATATTGCAGTGGGCTTTAGGTTGCTCTAGTTCAGAGAAAGGATAGATGGTTGCCTATCCGTGGCTGCAGGTAACCTTTCCCCAGGGACAGAGTCACCATGTCTTGGGCAGTGCTGTGGGAACCTTTGCTACCACTGCAGCCTGGACCAGCTAGAAACATGTAAGCACAGCTTAGAAAATATGTGCATAAAATGCTTTTCATGGATGTGGCAGAGAAAAGCTATGACAGGGGAGAATAGCTCTGGCTACGTTCTGTTGGAAACCCAGTCATAGTTCAGCTTTTTTACTCTTGATCACAGAGTTACAGAATCATTAGGGTTGGAAGGGACCTCTGGAGACCATCTAGTCCAACCCCCCTGCCAAGGCCACAACCTTGTGGAAATTTATTTTAAACTCAAAGATCACAGTACTGGGAAACTAAGTCAATGTATTTTCTGATGCATATTAGTATTTTTCTCATGGAAAAATGCAAGCTAACCTATTTTTTGCAAAGAATAATTTAAACAGTCTCTTTTTTTTATTTACAGAATCAAAGTTTTCTTTTGCAGTGTACTGATTGGTGAAATAATCTGTTTCTTCTGCCACAATGTGCATTTGGTTGTTTTCAGTATTCTCTTCCACCCTGCACATAAGCATAAAGTAATAAATTCAAAAGGTCATTCCTTTGTTTTCCCCTCTGCATTTGTCTTGATGCTGTTCTGAAAAATGAGTGTTGAGATACTGATTTTTGGGGTGCATGAGCAAGGTGAAAAAACAACAAAAGCTACCTGCCCCTGTCTTAGGATGGGTTCTTCCTCAGCCGTTTCTTAGTAAGTTGCTCTGCTGCCTTAAGTGATATCTCATCTCCCTGTGGGGTGTGCATCCACTGTACTTCTTTTAAGGTTTGAGATGCCTTCTACCATCATATGTCTGTTGTTACTTCGGTTGTGATTAGGAGGCTCTGGTCCATATTCACAAACAGTAGAGGCTAGTGCCAAGGGCAGCTGCAGACTTTTTTGTTGGTCCTCCTGGCTATGTGGTAGGGCAGCCTCCCCTCCTGCAGCTTTGCCTACCAGTGTGGCTTACACTGACTTTCCCTAAACTTTGATATTATCTCTGCAGTGCCTATATTAGCTGTTTTTATTCACACACTGGTTTCCTATCTGTCATCTTCCAACTATCTGTCATCTCCACCAGCTGAAAGATTTCCAGGTGGACAGGCCTGCTGCTTAAAATGAAGCTACAAAATAACTAAACTCCTGAGCCTTTCCTTAACTCTTAGCCTGGTGAATATCTAGTGCAGGCTGCCTAGTGATGATGAATAGCGGCTTTCCAGAAATAGACTAAGGACTTGGGAGATGAGGTGGTAGCAACATACAAAATTGTGTCCTGTGAAAAAGGCATTCAAAATTGTGACCCTTTTCCTGAAAATGGATCTGTGGTGGGGTTACTCCTAAAGTAGTGTTTGTTTTGCTAGGACTACAGCATCCGTGCAGGCATTTTAGCCTAGGAAGTTCTTCTACCAGTGACAATGGCCTTTGAGGAACTGATTTAAATAATAGGATTTTATTGCTAAATTTGAAGCATTAGCTCCAACATATTCACTGACATAACATAAGTTTTATAGGTACAATTTTGTTGTGTAAACTAGGGCTAACTAATACTTTTTTTATAAAAAGACTAGAAGATATGACAAACAAACAGTCGGAGATCATTTTCATGTTGTAGGGCCTATCTAATTTGTTTTCAGGGTTCATAAAATATTTAAGAACATGTATTTGGCTTTCATTCTACATCAACATAAGCTACCTGACTGAGATGTCAGTAAAAATAATTGAGTAACTGGATTTTCAGAGGGATTTGGTAATGAGTATCTTACCTTCTGACATTCTGATTTAAAGAACTTCTGAAAATAAGGTTACAGAACTTATGGTCAACTAATTAGGACATTTGGAGGGAATCCTGTGTTGCTTTTTCTTTAATCATCCAGAACCTTTCCTTATTTGGAATGTATACAGAAACAACCTCATAGAAAATTACAAAACCGTTAATGCTGGTTTGAAATTTTTGTATGCATTACTGGGAAGACCGGGGCAATAACAGCAATATTTTGGTTAACCTATTCAAGAAATGTAGGATTTTTACAGCTGAGGGGAAAATGCAGAAAGTATTTCGCTATTTATGAAATTGTGTGTTCTCTTCACTAGATTTAAAAATATGTATCTTAGGAAGTATTTCACACCTCTTTTACAACAGGAAGCTGTGGAAGATTTGAAGGCTTATTCAGACAGAATTCCCAAGACAAAGAGTACAGCTATATGATGCCTGGTTTTATGAAAATATCACTTGGACACAGCAAAGATTATTTAGCTATTTTAATATGGGGGGGGTTGCTTGTGGGACTTTTTATTTGTTTGGTTTTTTTTTATTTTTGGTGGGGGTTTTTTGTTGCTGTTTTGGGTTTTTTTCTTTTGTTTGAGTGGTTGGTTGTTGGGTTTTTTTTTCCTTCAGACAGAAATCAATACTTGAGAAAAAAAAGTTAGTAGCTAATAACTGGCACTACAGTTTTAGAGGAGGTGTTACCCATTAATACTTGGTCTGTTATCGATGCTGTCACCTGCCTGATGAGGGTTATTTCTCTCCTCTTGCTTTCAGCAGCCATGTTCCCCAGCACACAGACAAGTGGAAGTGCACCAGCAGCTGGGGCAGTGTCCTTCTCCCACCCCAGCAGTCACCTTTCCCCAGGACATAACATACAGGGTACTGCTCTCCATCCTCTGCTCTCAGCTGCGGACTCAGAGAGGTAACACCAGCCCCTACTTTTCCCACACTGATCCTGGGGTGGGACCACCTTCAGAGCTGCCAGGGTGGGTGGAAACTGCATTGTTGGTGTGAAGAAAGTCACTGGTGGCAGCCTTCAGGTAACAATTGCTCTGGGAATGGGTTTACCAGGTGAAGGAGAGGTGAAATGGACTGAGCTTTCCATCCATCTCCATTTCAGGGACTTGAGTTTATTTCAGGGACTCTACTGCAGGGAATCTCTAATCCCCTCTTGATCTCCACCAATGGCCTGAGCATGGCAAGTCGTACTAGGTGGGATACTAAACTGCTGAGGAGCCTAGCCATACCTTATAGAATGGAGTCCCATTCATGTTTCTGTTTTCTTGTGGTAGGAGAGTCATGTTCTGTCCATACTCTCTCAATGCTAAGTATTTCTGCAGGCACTTGGTGCTTTTTTTCTTGGCATCTTATTAAGACTGACAGACAAGAAAAAGTTTTTAATTTGAAAGCTTCATTTATAGTCAGGATTTGTTTTAGTCAGGTACCTACCAAGCTGGGTAGGTACCAACCCCTTGACCTTTGCTATTTTCATGATTGTAGGTATTTCAGTGATGTGAAAGCAGATTGCTTGAAGTGGTTTAATTTTTATGTTTGATATTCCCTAAATTATTTTCAGCAATCTTTCAAATTATGTATATTGTACATGGTATTATAAATTTCCACTTAGTTCATTGAACCAGAAATCTACCAGATCGCGAAATTGAAGACAACTACGCAAATAGCTTTTCAGTGGATAGGTCAGGAAAATACATCATCACACAAAATACTGAATTCTTACTATATGTATATGGATACTTAAACATTATTTTGATAATCTCCCAATCTCCCTATTTTTTAGTGCTCTAAATGATAAATTGTTGTATTTCATTACCGTATTTCAAAGTATTTAATTTCCTTGAGTGACAGAAATGCCAGTAATTTGGAGAGCACAAAGTGTCCATTTATAAACCTGAAAAGAACATTCACTAGATTTCAATTACTGATAAATGAGCATAATTTCTTTGGAGGAAAGCAGTACTCACTCTGCCTTGTATCAGGAAGATGGAAGAGCATGATGGCTTAGAGAATGGACAACAGGTGAAATTGGTTTCAGACTGCACATGTGAATTCAGCCAGTTCTGGAGCCACTGGAATTTGTTGAGCTTTTTGTACACCAGTCTGACATGAAACTTGCCGTTTCATGATCATTGAAGCTCATCTAGTGGTTAAGTCCTTCCCCCTCACTCCTGGCCACACAGTCCTGACTTTTTGACTCTGCCAGGGCTCTGGTGCTCTGTGTAAACATTGAGGCTGCCCATGCCCTCTTTCCTGACCCAGAGGCTTTACTTCTCAATGTAGTTTTCTCTCCAGTGCATGAACGGTCCATACCCAGCAATTGACAGAGCACAAGGTCACAGGCAGGAACAGATCAGTAGTTATTACAGGCATAAATTTCATGATGAAAGACAGCAATCTTCTCATTAGCCCATTTTGAGGCTGGTGTAAGACCAGAGCAGACATGTTTAGAGTACAACTTAACTCATTAAGTCCTTGAGTGTGTTACAGACCTCAGGATACTACAGCACTCTACAGAAGAGCAATAAAAACCCAGTGTGATACACATCTTTCTCATAAATTAACAGTATACACTCACTCTAAAAACGCTTTAAGTGCTAATTCCCGTATGTGGAGCTACTTTGGATTGAAAAGAATGGTGCCAGTATCTTCATTTAGGTAGTGTGACAAATGGCAATTTAAATTCAGAAAAGAAAAAGGTATTACAACAGTGTTGGCTGGATTACAGAGGATATAGTACAAATTAATGGAAATATTTAAAAGAAAAACTGTTGCAGAATCTGTATCTTGAGTCTAATCCAGTCCACTCACCTAGGGGCCCTGCGAGTATGCTGTCATTTACACCACCTCATGGGTCTGACGATAGCTGTGAAAATGTGAATAAGACAACACTTCAGTATACAAGCCTTTGGAATGTGTGAATCACCCTGTTTATGCCAAACTCACTGAAAGTACTGCAAAATGTAGGGGTACAACCTGGGGATTTGTTCCCCCCCTGCCCATGGTGTGCAGTTCATGATGCGCTGTGTGTGTCTAGGGTCATTCCAGAGCTAGGTCTGCCTAAGCCTCTGTGATAGCCTGCATTTGCTGGACTGAAGCTGAATCAAGCTTCTGGCTGCTTTGGGCAGTGTGGGGGCCAGTCACATAATCTTTCCATTTTGGACAGAAGACTCAGGTTTGTGAGTGACAAGAGCCAAAGGAAATAAGCATCTCCAGGTACCATGAGGTAGACAAATAGAGGGCTTGTTTTGCATCGTTTTCGACCTAGGTGATGGAAGAGAGAGAGCACGGACTTAATTAAGCCTTAGTAATGTGAGAAAAATGAACCAAACATGGAACACATCTTACACTGCTTTCGTTCTGCGTACAAAACTCAGTGTACGCAGAGTGCAAGTCAGATATAGAGTTTGGATCCAAGAAGCAACTTTATTTATCGAATGAGAGAACATGTGTAATAAAAATGCATATTTACGTTTTGTTTGTTTCAGCTTTGTTATGCTAAGTTTCAGTGCTCCCCTAATATGAAATACTGCAACTATGAAAATGAAAGTATTAAATGATAGTAGTACCCAGAAGCATATGTATAAAAGGGGATATGTATTTGGCTTCCTTTTCACATATTTTTGTAATAAAAGGGCATTCAAGGAAGTTGAAAAAACAATTTAATTAAAACCCAGATTAAAAAAAAATGGGTTTATATGGCTTAGGTAACATGTACAGCTCAGTACCCCAAAATTGATGGTGTCAAGTGTTTAAAATTTTTTTTTTTTAATTGTTGTTATTATTTCTTGAATTCCCCGATACATACATTTTGCTTTTTAGGGCTTGCTTTTGTGCAAGAAGTAATCTGTTTACTGATGTGAGACCAGAAACGAATTCTTCATTTGGACTTGGTGTTCCAGATGATTTTTTACGCTCCTGTGAACCACACCTAGTGGCATGTCCCTAGAGCAGGAGACATCCTGGCTTCACAGGAAGTTCTAGAGATTGTGTAAAGCTGGCAAGAAGGATGTAGGGCTGAACTGTTCAGTTTAGCATTACCACAGAGCTAAAAGTTCTGCAACAGTGCTTCTTTTTGCTTATTTGAGTATGTGGTTATATTCTCTGGAGAGACATAAACTTGATGGATGACCACCTGGTGGATAAAGAACTAACTGGGTGGCTGCATGTAGAGAATTGCGGTCAATGGCTGAAGAAGGGTAACAAGTGGTGTACATATAAATGACAAACTCTGAAAAGTGGAGGTGGCAGCAAGTCTAACCCTGAACCCAGGCCATAGAATCATCATTTAGGTTGGAAAGGACTTTCAAGTAAAAGAACTTTTATGTTGTTGAGTCAAATCGTAAACATAACACTGCGACGTCCACCACTAAACCAGGTTCCTAAGTGTCACATTTGCATGTCTTTTAAATATCTCCAGGGATGGTGGGTGAACTCTTCCCTGGGCAGTCTGTTCCAGTGCTTAACAACCCTTCGGTGAAGAAATTTTTCCTAATACCTCATCTAAACCTCTTCTGGCAAAACTCAAGGCATTTTCTCTTGTCTTATCTCTTGTTACTGGGAAAAAGAGACCAATACCCACCTTGCAACAATCTCCTTTCAAAACCAATTTTTCTCTAGCCTGTTTCTACACTTTTCCAAAGGCACTCTTTTCCTTTTCTTTGAATTTGCAAGAAGTTCAGTTCTCTAATACAACACAGCTGCAGAAAATGCTGAGGGAGATTTTAAAGTTATATATCTCTGTCTCCAGGGAATCTGTATATTGAGGTGGCCACTCACAGCTTCCTTCCTTCAATTGCCCTTTAAATTCCACTTAAATTCTCCTTTCTTATTCTCACCGAAGAGCACATGATGCCAGTCAGAGGAGCTGTTCTTCTTCCTGCCATCCCTTCTTTGGGCTAGCTGGTTCACTGGTTTTATCTGAAAAAGCAGTTCCTGTGTTCCTAAAGCTTGGGCGTGAAAAGGGTTTTAGGTGCTTGTTAATGACTGAAAAGAAGGATATAAAATTAAAGTCAACTGGCACAAGCAGTCTACTCTCCCGAGACACCAGGAGGATCGAAACCTGCTGTGGGATTTTTGCAGTGCAGGGTGTGAGCCAGAGCTTCACAAGTGTAAATTTGGTGGCTGAACAAAACGATGGATGAAGATTTTGTTTTGTGCCAGCCAGAATATTTTTGTTAGGGAAGATTCCCTCCCTTTAAAAAAAACCCCAAAACTTGCAACAGAATAATCATTGGAGAGAAACATGCTGTATCAGAGGTAGGTAAAAAATTTAGGGTTTTACTATTTTGATCAAAATGAAAGAGTTCATGACTTTTGGGCAAAACATCTGATTTTTGAAAATTGTGCTTGGCAAAAGCTATGCCTTTACTTACAAGTGTTTTTAAATCATGTTTATTTGATTGTCATTGATAGCTAGCTAGACTAACTTAAAGTGCAGTATGTTGGATTACAGACAACTGTATTATAACAGAATGTTTTCCCTCTTGACAGTGGACCGAGGAGTTCCAAAAGCACTAGCACACAGCATGAAGTGTGGACCCAAACCAAAATGTGAGATCACACCAGAATAATAGGGCTGTTTAAAGAAGAGAATGGAGACATAACCCCAGATTTTCTGGATTTGCCTAGAAATAAAAAGGCAATCAAGAGGGAGTGGGCATAGAGTGTTCCTCACTTAACGTTGTCAGAAAGTGCAGTACTCTATAGGACACTGTTGGAGAGAGCAACTTGCTACAGGGGGTTTATAGCTTTCTCCTCTGTCCAGCCAAAATTTCAGCTGTAGTAAGGTAAAAGCCTGATCTCCTGGCTGTGTCAACTGCATAACATCTGGGTATCTTCCAGACTGTTGCAGCTCAATAAAAAGGAATAGAACTCAGCCAGTTAACAGATCACCAACACAATAAATTGTGGTTAGAAACTGTTCAAAGAAAACTATGTCCTCAAAATTTAAAAATAGCTAACAAACAACCAAACAAAAAAACAACACCACAAAACCAAACAAAAACTTTTCAGTTTTAATGTTCCACTTCCATTTTGGAAGCATACTGAAAGCAACCATAAGGATTAATGTTGTCTAAATGATGGCACATGCTTTACTTTTCAGTGCAAAGTTGAAAAAAGTAGTCTTGGACCAAATTTCTTGCTCTCCTTTCTCCAATTAGGAAGGGAAGCTGCCACTTGACTACTGTGAGAGCTCTGTGTAGTGGAAGCAAGTTGGCAGTTTCTAACTGGTCCCGATTGTTTCAGGAAAAAAGTAAATTTACAGTTCCCCCAGAAATACACTGCGGTTTATTCAGGGACAAATCTGGACTGAGACAAGATCAAGTTTCTCTTTTGGTAGGCAGAAGGGAAGTAAAAGTATATCACTTTAGTCACCTATGTGAGTAAGTCAGGTATTCATGAAGTGATTCATAAATCATTACAAAGACCTGAAGTCTACTGTAAAGGAGTCCTGTCTGGCTACACAAAGTACTGTATTGTTATTTTGGGGAGGATTTTTTGGATGTTAAACCAAATGTGAATTCTTGCAACCCAGAAAGGCGACTGTATGCTGGGCTGCATCAAGAGAAGCATGACCAGAAGCATGAAGAGGTGATCCTGTCCCTCTACTCTGGTCTCATGAGACCCCACCTGCAGTACTGCATCCTGTGTTGGGGCCCCCAACACAAGAGGGATGTGGACCTGCTCGAGCAAGTCCAGAGGAGGCCATGAAGATGATCAAAGTCTGGAGCACCTCTCCTATGGAGAAAGGCTGAGAGAGTTGGGCTTGTTCAGCCTGGAGAAAAGAAGGCTCCAGGAGATCTGATAGCAGCCTTGCAGTACCTAAGGGGGTCTGCAGAAAATCTATAGAGGAACATTTTACAAGACGATGATTTTTAAGGTCCCTTCCAATCCAAACCATTCTGTGATTCCGTGATGTGTAAAACTTTACTTAATACTTTGAGTTTTGAAAACGATTTTCCCCTGTTGCTGGCTGCTGGTTAAAATAATTTTTCAGAAATTAATTTTCACAAATGACTTTTGAAAACACAGAGGATGATATCTCATGATTTTTTAAGTAATAGTAGTTGTAAAAAAACACCTGTGTATTGCTTTTAATCTCTGGCAGCAAGTAACAGTCTTTCCGTGGGAATGCTATACAAAAAAATAACTCCAATCCCTACTCAGAAGTCATCTAACCAGGTAGTTGTAGCATGTCTTTAAAAAGCTCTGATATTCTTATCACAATACTGATTTCTCTCTTCTTTTGTTTGTTTTTTTTTAATATTCCATATATTGTTATGAAACACACGCATACTTTATTCTATTCCTCCCTAGTATGTCTTTAAGTCTACACTGCATCAGTTATCTGAAACAATGATATACTTGACATATTAAAGACTCAGTGACTCAGTAGTGACATCTTTATTTCCTTCAATAATATATGTGCTTATGAAGTTAATATCAAACAGCACAAAGACCATTTAAACCCTATCTAATATACCTAAGAATGCAATTCTCAAAGAAAACTGAGTAGTCAGTAAACAATCCAAAGTTCATTTTGTAACTTGCTATATTCCAAATGTAAATTATGGATCTTCCAGAAACATAGTGAATAGGTTTCAAATTAAGTCATAATCACACAGATTATCACAGCAGGTCAAGGGAGGTGATTCTTAGAATGTGTGGCAGATACTGATGCTCAGCTGCAGCATAAAAGATCTCATGTGACTGAGGTGCAGCTACAGCATGTATAATGACCATGTCCCAAGGTGTTGTACAGTGTTACTACCACAGTTGCACCTTCTATTGTATTTGGATTAAGATTACAGTTTCCTTACAGTTCTGCAGGAAAACCATTCTTTATTTCTGGGTTAAAAAGAAAGTAATCCAGTGAATTGAGATTCCAGCTTCAGAACAACAGGGATCAGTTTTAGGATCCTGGCAGTATTAACTGCAAGCACTGATGCCTCCTAGCAGCAGCTTCTGAGCACACCCACCACAGAGAAGGGCAGGTGGGGACTCTTGTTCAGCACAGACGTCGAGCTTGCTTTCAGGACTGGGGAAAGAGGCAGATTTGTGACAGGAATACCATATCAGTTTTCACTCCGTCTTGCAGAAATAGCCTGCTTTGTTTTGTCAGCCTTCCTGAATCTCTTCCTATGGGTGAGAAAGTGACCCTCAGCCCTTCCTGAGCCCAGGATGAGCTTTTGTTCACTAATCAGCTCCTATCAGTCCAGTGTGTAGTTTGGGCACTGGGGCATAGACCAGGTCTCTCATCTGCAAAAATTACTGTTGCACCTATTTGTAATGTGCTTTGAGGAATGCGATTTTAAGGAAGTGTAGAAAAATGTTAAATTTACAAACTCTGTAAAATCCTCAAAGTAGTGTGCAATCTTGTAGTGCCGGTACAGACAGAACTGTGAAAAACATACCACTGAAGTGATGAACCTCTGTGGCAGCTACACCACCAAGTTTGGTCTGAATGGTTCTCCTCCTCTGCCAGGCTTGTAAGTTTGTACTTTGAGGTCAGAGGAACATTTTGATGTGGTCAGACTCTGCCCCATCGGAATCGATTTAACACTAGCCTTTATTTAGATTATATCGACTTCAGATTGTTTATTTTCAAATAGCTCTGTATGGCATACAAAAAATTCTAGAACTTGAAACCTGAACCTGGACCTCAAACTGTTCTCGAACTCATTAGTATCCAGTGACCAGAACTGATCCCTCACAGAGTGGAAGGACAGCTATTGATTGACAGATATAGTTGATATAGAGCCTTACAATGAGACAGTTGGCAATGCCTCAAAAATCGGGGTTCCCATGAGGTATCTCCTCCTATTAAGACTTAAACCCACCCACAAAAGTTAAAACAAGTTTTCCATGATAAGGGTGCAGTCCAGCGTTTTAACTTCCCAGTTGTCAAATATGAAAATGTGTATTCTCTGTATCTGGGCTGCACACTGTTCTTTCGGAAGTCGCTGTCTATGCAAACTGCTAAACATTATAGTGATTAAATAAAGTAGAAACAACCTTTAGCTCTTATCTGTTGGATATTTTACAGTTCTATGATTCTGAACTCCTAGGTTTGTTGCTCCAGCTCCTTCTCACCACATAAACACCCAGGGAATTTCAGTTCCGCACCACATGATGCAGAGACAGATGCCGCAACCTCCCCACCTTCAACAGCCTGCAGGAACGTCTCTAAAGACATACCAGCCAGCAACAAGTCCTTCTTTTCAACTAAATAGCCTCCACAACCAAGGTAAGAAACAAGAATCCTCATCACTCATGTTAATTGTTTGTCACTGTTGTTGAAGCTTCAAAGTAAGGTCTTCAAGGGATGGTGCTGGTATTTTTAAGGCACCTTACTTTTTGAAAAGCCCTGGGAAGTAGCCTTCAGGAACCTGTGTTTAAACTGCCTTAAAATTCTTAGCTTAGATAATTGTTATTCATCTTAATACAGAGTTACAGTTTTCTCTTTAGATAGATTTTCAGAGCTGTCCTTGTTGTCATATGACGTATGTGAAGACATGCCAGACCAGAACCAATAAATTCCTAGCATATGGGGCTAGGAAGGGATCAGGTTAGCCTTCCTGTTTCCACAGTACAATACATTTTACTCAATTCCCTTTTTTTGCTGCATATTTGGCAAGAACTCATCTTCCAGAAAGGCATCCAGACATTAAAGTCTGTCTTTCTACATGGAAAAAAAGTTATCTTTGAGTGCGTAGACGGCTTTACCACCTTCTTCTTCTCATGGTCATGGGAGAAACATTGTAGAAACTGAGATCACAATCAGTTGTTCTGAAGTTAAACAGTTTCCAAGGAATCCTGCCCTCCAGAAGCTCACAGATCACCTCAGATTAGTTTCTGTTCCACAAGGGACTTGCATTGCCTGGGGCAACAAGCTCCTTATTAGCTTTGGGCATCATCTCTTTAGAGCAGGCCAGAGCAATGCTACTGTGTTCCCACCTCCCTCTCCTGCAGTCCAAAGAGGATTTAAAAGGACAAAAGACATGTGTCATTGACACCATTATAAGGCCAATAGAGACTCTCATCTGGGCAAATGTCACATATGGACTGAAGCCCCATTTCCCGTCCAAATTTAAGATAGAGCTTAATACTATCTTCTGAGTGGATCAAAACCTGGATAACCTCAAGGGCTTGGACCTTAAAACCATACCTTAGTCCCATGTTAGCTTCACTGTGTTTGCCTCCCTGTCCTAGGAAAACCTGTGTTGAAAATAGACATTGGTGACAGGAATTGTATACATACAGTGAGCAACTGAAAGTCGCAGATGCGAAGATCTCTGTGTTTAAAAATGGTAGGAAGACAGTGTGGGCTGAATTCTATTTTTTGAAAGATATAATACATTGCAATACAAAAGCCACATTCGGGTATTGAATGTTCTTTCAAAGATTAAGTAACCTATTGTCACTCTAAGACGTATTTTGTCAGAATGTGCTCCCTCCAATTTAAGCATAGTTGTCTCATTCCAATGTGCTACACTGAAAGTTTTGTTGGTCCTGTATGCCTGAAAGGCTTAGATAAACTATCTCTCACAAAAGGAAATATTTCAAGAGTTCATGGTCAAGTTTTCCCAGCAATACAAAGATAGACATCTTCCTTGGTCACATCAGTATAATGTAGAAAAACACTATGGAGTTATCTAATAAGCCTGAACTATTTGGTATATAAGGAGCGTCTGTGGGAAGCTCTGTTCATTTCTGTCTCCTGCAGTTCATAACTTGCCTTTTCAAGGTTTAAAGTGCTGTAGCTGTAGCCACTTCAACTCAGTCCGCTACCAAACAATGGTGACATTTTTGTCTCAATATGTAAGCTTGTAAACTCCATTTAAATTGGCTGTACGAAGGAAGAAAGAGTTTCATTGCCCAAAAGCTATTTGAAGAAAGCAAGTTCTCAACAGATTCCTTTACTAAAAGCCTAAGCATCTTAGAAGCTCAGGAAGATCTCAGAGTGCTATCCTTTGGAGATAAATTATGTAGGAGGTGCAAGACTGACAAGCCTTTTATATCTAATAGCTACTTGCATTGTGAAGCTGCTTCTTCTTGGAAGAACATTGTCTACAGTTCAAATTTCAGTATTTGTTCTGAGTGATTTTCAGCATCAGATACACAGTAAAGTCAGAGAGGGCTTTTCATTGCTTTGGTTAATGTTATATAATAGACTAAATATTCCCTTTTCTTCCTCTTGTGAAATTCATGATTTCCTTTGCTATGTGGAATATTCAGAAGTGATGCGATGGTGTTAGATGTCTCGCTGAACTGCAGAAATGAAGCCTTTCTTTTCCTTTCATTAGACTTAGTATCTTTAATTGGATTACCATCAGCAGTAAATCTGAAACTGGAAACTGGAGTGATGACTTCCCAGCTTGATTCTATTGTATGCCATTGTACTATGCTAAGTGTTTGCAGGCAGACTAGAAGCCAGTTCAGGTCCTGGAAATCTGCAACAGTTGGCCTAGGACCTGTATTGTACTGGTCACTCTTTTCAGCCAAGAATAACTACAGGGATCTCAGCACAGGTACCTGAAGACAAAGGCATCTGCAGCATGCAGGCAGCTGTGAAAATAAGGTGTTGCTTTGAGACAAGTTGGAAGAGATGTGTGAGGTAGAAAAGAAAAGGACAGCAATAGAGAAATCCTCCACAGTGATCCAGCTTCTTGTGTTTATAGTACAGAGTGAGGTAAAGCTCTTTTGGGCATGGGCACAGCTGGCTTGATTTCGGATGCTTCTGATATTACAAATATTTTTGCACTAGAAGTCTGACTGTCCTTTAAGATTGTGCCTGTAAGTCATGATGTGTGTTTCTATGAGGTAAGCTGATGACCAATGCTGGTTGAGTAAGGGAAGAAATAAAAACGTCATGCAAAATTTTCAGGAAAAGAAAAAAGTTGCCATTTGAAAGAAATAAATGTTAGCTGATATGAGTTAGCTATACTGTGTATCTATACAGGCAGCTCTGCTAGTAGCAGTTACCTTTTAATTACAAATAATCAGATCTAAATAAGCAAAAAATTTTTAGGTTTCTCACCTTTGCCAGTCAGTCTGGCAGTACAATATGTGACTCGTATCTATGACTTCCTTTTGTTCTTCACACTCAGATGGTACCAAATGATTACTTGTTTGTGTAATTCACTGTAGAAATGTACTGCAGAGGAACACTATTTTGAAGTAGTTCAAGTCAAAAACAGCTGGAAATTTTACATACCATAGTAGCAGTAAAGCCTACTCACCTATGATTTCTTAATAGCACTTAGGATTATTTTCATGAGAAAATACTCTCTCTTTGTGGTGCCAGGAAGAGAACTGTCTGAGAAGGAAATGGATGTTCATCAGAAACTTCCTACCTTATGGAAACTGTAACTGTTGCAGTCATTCATTGCATATCTGTAATGAAATCTTTGTCCACATCAGTTCAATGGAATCAGGACCGTATCACAAACTTATATGGACCACAATTTCAGCTGTGAATTTGAGTTGGCTGTGTACCTGGGATTTTCAGATGCTTAGCATCTCTGAGGACAAGGCTCTGTAAGTGATAAAGAACAAGAGCTTTTTGCTTTTAGAAGAGGTTCTTGCGGTATACAACTATTTTATCATATTTAAAATTATTTCACTTTCCTCTGGAAATAATTCTATCATGACAGAAAAATAACTGTTTAAACTATTTATTCTGTATTTTGACATCATGGATCTTGGCTGTAGTGCACTGATTGAAAGAAACACGATTGACATAATCTTGTGCATGTGTGTGTTTTAAATAGCTGAACAAGAGAGCAAATGATGCAGTCCAGGTTGCAGTCCTGAGGAGAAATGTTTAGTTGCTGGAACTTCATTAACCAACCTGTTTGCCTTTTTTATTTTTCCAGTACTGCATGAAAACACAGAAAACAGAAGCTACAGGTAGTTCTCTAACAGATAATCTCAAAAGAGTGGCCAGCTGTAGTCTGGGTCTAGGGCCTCAATTGCCTTAGGTTTCATGTTATCCTGCCTTCAGCAGTAGTATAGATTATCTTGGGCATGGTAACACATGAATAAAAGGAATAGCTCCTGATACCAAATAAGGACATTTTGCTGGATCATGTTTGGGCTCCAGTACAAGGACCTCTACATTGTGACCTAATGCACTGCAGACATGGACAAAGTGCTTAATAACTGAGGGGTAGAGAACAATGTACGCTCTGTTCTGCTCCTTCCTGTTTGTGGCTCTGTATTTTATGAGATGGATATTTTTGACCCTGAATCATGAAAAAAACATGTATCTAGGAAACCTGAATTATTTTTCTTTTGTCTCTTTCTATCTTAAAGGTATGTTGGGGGTTTATCAGTTAATGAAAGTGCTTTGTGCACTTCCCTGGTCTTCCTGCAATATAGGGGTTGAGGTACCACTGGATCAAAGCTTGTAAGACTTTGCTAGACAATGTTCTTTAGCTTAAGTAGAGAATGAGCAAACACAAGGAATGTGACTCACAATAGCTTAACCCCAAGGTAAGCAGTTTTTCTGCCAGACTTCAGATAGTGATAGTCAAAGTTACTGCCAGGTTGTTCTGCTTTGAGAACAGGGTGCTGTGAGAAAGGCACAATTAGAGAATGAGCGCAGGGCAATGTGAAAGGACATTTCATCATGTGTCTTGAAGGGTCTTGCCAGCTGGCTAAGACCACTATAGATTGAAATAGTTGTTTCTGGTAACTAGTCTGACTCAACAGTAAACTTGCACAGTGTGTCTATTGATTTTAAAGGCATTTTTAAAGGAGGCAAAAACTATGAACAGCAATGTTGCTTCTAAGTCCAGTTTTGGAAGGCTATTTTTTCTTTCATTTTACTTTATTTTACTAGAGTTGATTCTTAAATGTCAGGACTGAACACTTAAGGAGTGAAAGTTGTAAATTCTTGACATACTTTGCAGTCTGACTCAATTTTGTTGCAATTAAACTTCAAAGGAAAAAAAATATTGAAACCATCATCTTACAGCTAGCACTGCAGAGTTCCCACAGCCTCTGCAGAAGACAGTGAAATCTATGAGTGTTCAGCCTTTCCAGAGTGAGCACAAATGCTGCAAATTGTGCCTGCTGTGGAAGAGGAACTGTGCTTCTGCTTTTGATTTTTTTTCTTTATTTTTCTTCTCTCTTTCCCTTTTTTTTTCCCTTTTGTAAGAAGTCAAGATACTCTTTTTTTCATGCAGGTTTTCAGACACAACACTACGCTGACAATTGTTTCGTTATTCTTTCATGTAACTATTTGCCTGATCAAGACACTTGTTACATTTGTGCAAATCAGGCATTTATCTCATTGTGCATACACAGAAGTGTCTTGCAATGCTACTGAATAAAATACAAAGACTATATTTCACTCACCATTGTTACAGAGACCTTCTCATAAGGTCTCTTCTGAGTTTCTGGGTGCAGGTTCAGACTGTCTTGTCTATCCATAGTCCTGGCATGTTTTGAGGCTTTTAAATATTGAGTTTTCTGTTTCAGTTCAAGCACATCTTATGCATGCCAACGTTTGTGTGGTTTTTTAGTCTCAAAGGAAAAAAGAATCATAAAACTCTTAAGTCATGCATCATTCCTCCCACTTCAACGAAAAAGTGGTACAGCATGTTTTTCACTGCATCCTTCTCCTTTCCCTATCCCCATTATCTATGAAATGCATTATCTGTACATGAACACTCAATACATCTTCCAACAAACAACAGTCCCCTATGCACACTTCCATAGGAAGGTTAATGGAAACACATGTAGCTCCTAGCCACAATCCAGAAGAATTTTTTCTTATGTTCACAACATATTTCTGAGCATAGACTGTCACTGTAAAGGTATTTGAGGTAGGTAGGTTTGTTTGGGTTGGGGTTTTACACAACATATTCCTCATCAAGACAATAGCACATCAAGGCAGTAAGGGTGTTGAGGAACTGGAATAGGTTGCCCAAGGAAGTTGTGAATGCTCCAACCCTGGAGGTGTTCAAGGCCAGATTGGACAGAGCCTTGGGTGACATGGTTTAGTGTGTGGTGTCCCTGCTTATGGCAGGGGGTTTGGAACTAGATGATCTTAAGGTCCTTTCCAACCCTAACTATTCTATGATTCTATGATTCTAAGACAATAGTAAATTCTGTAAATTAAAAAATTGCTACTAAATCTAAGCTTTGGACATTTTGCTCAGGAGTCTGAAGGATGGCTTTTGTAAGTAAAAGAATGTGGTGTGATCGTTTTTTTCAGTTTTCTATAGTATGTTCTTATAATGCACTCAGCACTGAAAAAAATTCATACCAGTCATAATTTTAAGGGGGAGAAAAGACCTTGCTTCCATGAGAAAAATCTTCAGGCCAACATACTGCAGAACATCTGTCTCTGCCTCTTAGATTGCATACATGTCCCTGTTTTATGTAGTGTGGTTTTAGTTATATAAATATATATATTTTGTCATGAACTTCAATGTGAATTTACTCAGTGCTTAAACACCTCTAATAATCACTTCAAGAACAAAAAACAACTTAAAGAACAAAAACGCTGGTGGGGGTCTTTCATGTCATGTAACACAAGTCTTGGTTCTCTTCCATGTGGACTCATTTCTACTGATGAGTGGGTTAGACTCTCACCATTTACTTAAAAACAACAGACCCTGTGGGTTGTCAGCAGGCAGCCTTTCTGATCTCATATGCATGCCCCACTATTGGCCAGCTGTCTTGACATTAGTGACAGACACTCAGATTTTATGCAGACCTTACTGGAGTTATCTTCCTTTATTCTGAATAAAGCATTCTCTTAGATACTTCAGGAAGCAGCCCAGTGTGAAATCTGGAGAGTAGCAGTTCAGACAGCAGAACTGCAGAGTAAAAGGAGAAATCCCTGAAAAATTTCAGCTTCTAGCCAGTCAGTGCCTCTCATGAGTGATGCTGTCATGGATGTCAGGACGTCCATGAAGTGGATTGGGTTCAGAACTGGTAACAACTGGAGGAAAATCTTAGGGAGCTTCATATCAAAGCCGCGTTATTGACAAAAAATAGTTGAAATACTGGAGCTACTGCTATTGAGGTTTTTATCATTCTTATGGCCATAGTTACACATGCTATCCCTTGTGTCTCTATCCAGGTCTTTTACTGACCACTTTCTTCTCCTTGTTGTAGGGTTATATGGGCAGCTTCAGACTTTCTACCCTCCACATTATGCTGAACCTCAGAAGAATGTACAAGATAGCGTTTCTTGCAATACAGTTCCTCCTTTTGAAGACTGCTTAGTTCCCACATCAGCGGACCAGGCAGGACTTGGCACTTTCCATCGAACTTTTTCAACGCACTCTGGTATCGCAGGTAAATGACAGTTGGGCACTTTGTGGATGGTTGTGTACAGTTTGTGGACTTCGACAGATCTGCTTGAACTGTGTATGTAGATAGGACCTGTCATGACAGACTTGACTCTTCAGAAAGAGGAGATGTTTTTCAGACATCTGTGGTGTGGTTTGCATTGAGACCCAGTCACAATGGGTCACAGTAACAGCTGGCCTTTGTGCAGCCAGCACACTGTTGAGGGCTTCTCAAGATTCCAAACTATGGGGATCAGTCACTAGCTCATGTATTTGAAATACAGTCCATTGAGCCCTATGTGATACTTGTACAGCCACTCTGCATTGTAGCAGGGACTGGAGATGATTCAAACCACTGATTTTTTCATGTTTGATTTTTCTCAGTCTTGGATTTCATTTACATTTCCATGGCAAGAACTGCCTGGTGCGAACTTTTCTGTGCACACTTCACGCTCTCCACCTAGCTGAAAAGCATATAAAGAGCTTGCATGGTAGTCTGGAAGGATGAAAGTTACCTATGTACAGAGGATCAGTATAAGACAGTAGGCCTAATCAGGACCCAAGTACCATTGATACCCACACCTTTTAATATCTTTCCACACAGGATGATTTCACTTAAGTTTTACTGTGCTTTGAAATATCTCTTACGTCGTGGTCTTTCATTAGTGCATTAAAAAGCTAATGCACATATAACTTCAAAGAGCCATCTTGCAGTATGTAAAGAAGTAATCCAAAGGACTAGAGTTTTTCTGCAGCTATTCTTGTGCTTACCACTATTGCTTGTAAGAGATAGTAATTTCTGTGCCAAGTTCTACTTTACAGCAGATAAGTTCCACAGTATTTTATTGCCTTTTATCGTATGTTGGGTATGATGAAATTCAATAAACAAGCATGAAATTTATTTTAAAAATGACACAATTTTAGCACCCAGTAGGTGCTAAATTTTAGAACCCCAATGGGCAAATGTTAGATGAAATCCACTGTACTTCGTTCTTGATTGTGACAGAACTGAAATTCCTCCCTTGGTAAGTAGCAAGTTGCATAATTATTAAATTCATACCTGTATTGGCTTGTTTGTTTTGTTTGTCTATTTGGTTTAAAGCCATTTCAAGTTCTTTGTGTAAGTATTAGGACATTCTCCATTATATAGTTACCCTAGTTAATTAATTATTTTTCTATTTTTTCCAGTTTATGACTTTCCAGCAGGGTCGGTAGGTATCTTTGGTGATTCAGCTCACAGCACGCCAGAGGATAGCAGTTTCCTACAAGTAAATGCAGTGGATTGTTGTTCTAGCCAGCTTTCTTCTGTCTACACTGAAGGCTAACGTAATACAAATCTAGTTAAAAGAACTTGATTCCATTTCATCTTGCCCTTCTGATATTTCTCTACAAAATTTTCTCTCCATGAAACTGCCATGTATGTATGGGGATATGGGTTGATATACATACAAAATGGAGAGGAAAAACCAGTCACCAAGCATTCATCATACAATCAAGCAGTCAACTGAGGAGAATGTTTGAAGAATGCAAGCTTTGCCAAAAACTTAGTAACTGTTTTTTTTCTTTTTATCTGTGGCACAGCAGCTGTACTTTTTTGTTCTTTCTTCTTTTTAATTTCTTGATTTCTCAAAGGGAATTCACAGACTGAATAAGGAAACTGCTTGTTGGCTGTAGTCTTTTCAAGCTGAATGGGTGGACTTACTGAAGAAAACAGCTTTAGAAAATTCCTTTTTTTTTTCCCTAATAAAAAAATATCCTTTTTAAAAAAAAAAAAAAAGAAAAAAAAAAAGAAAAAAGTAAACCAGAGCGTATTACAAACATTTAAAAGGCACACAGATTTTTGCACAACCTGTTCACATGTGATGCTTCCAAAGTTAAACACACACTGGCATCAAAAAGGGAGAGAAATTAGACATACATCCTGGCAGTACCTGTTGGAGGCATTGGTGTGGCTTCTGTTTGGAGCCAAAGATCATTAATACTGCGTTTCTTACAGGCCTCAGTCTAGATGTCTTTTCCTTCCCTCTGCATTTTAACCCATACAATATGGCCATTGCTATTTTTCCAATATTCCTTCTGACCCAGTGCTTTATGCAGTGAATAAGAAGGGTTAAATGCACTACATGGAAGGTACATGGACTTTGGCCATTTTTAGCACAGCTGCTACATAAGAAAAAGTATATTTTAACTTTCTGTTGATTTTCAATTATATTGTAGAGCTTTATTGCTGTATATGCTATAGTACTCCATAGAAAAGCTTAAAATAGCCTGTAGAAAAGATTATCCTTTAAATTCCACAGATTTTCTTAAAAGCAATCTGTACTGATTCAATTAAATTTTTGTTGCCCTAACATTTTGCATTTTCATAACACATTTTCAGGAAGAAGAGCTTCTCTTAAGTTTGCTACGATCCTTTTGGTCATTTAGAGATGTAAAAATGAACTGGTCTGGTGGTTTTGATTTTCTCACTCAGCGTCAGGCTCTGGTGCTCAGATTTAGTCCAGAATGCAAGCTGATGAGGTTGCACTTTGTGAAATGTGAAAGGGGATGAGTTTAAAACAGCATTTTGCAGTGAGCATGTGTCGTCACTGTGATCCTGTATATTTTGAGAGCACCTCTTACAAGACTGAATTTTTAGGTTATTAATTCCTGTTTATCCATTCTGCGGACTTCTTACTGTGTAGTGTGCATCGTAATATTCATATAACTTGATTTAATAAGAAGGACAAAAGTCCAAAGTTCATTCTTACAGCCTAGACCATAACAATGCTTCTGAAATTAGTAATCTAGAAAGATGAGTTATAAAAAAAGTTTACAAAACATTTTTTTATCCTGAGAAGCTTTTGAGAGTTGTTGAACGCCATTTGAGTCAAATTCATAATTTAATTTGTGTTGCATAGATGGATTTATATCCAGATGTTTATAAACACTGGCAACCCTTTTAGGTTTATATTAATGAAGTATATTCTTATAAACAGGCATATTTGCTTTTATATTTAATGGAGATATTTTTATCCAATAAATGCGAAGAATATATGGATAAACCATGCACATAAGTGATCTACAGTAAGAACTAATACTGTTTAAATACAAATAATTCTGTAGTAAATTCTTCCCCCTTCTATTCTGCTTCTCAAATCACACATTAATGTGTCCTTTTGCTTCAGCTTGCAATATTAGTGCTAGTTGTTACTATGTGTGGTTAGCATTCGGTTAAATGACATCAGGTTTTTTATCTATACATACACAGGCAAAAAGACAGTTCTTTTGCATTAATGTATGATCTAGTCCAGTGTATTGACAGAGGGTTTTGCTTTTTAATAAAGCTTTAATTTTCTGCTATCTTAAAGCCCATTCTTTGTTCACTGCACATGGAGAGCTTAGTT